TTGTTTGTCATTTCTCCGATCACAAATGCAGACATGGTTTTATGTTTACGTGGCGCGATGCAACGCAACGCATAAAAAGACAGTACAAGTCATTATAATCAGTAATTATGTCCCCACTGGATGCAACAAATGCCTCGTTTGTAATGGGTTTTCATGTTTTTGAATCGTCGCTCTGGCCAGACAGGGTATCACAGTATGGTAAGGGGCGTAACATTTCCATCACACGCTTGAGGTATTCGGCCAATCACAACGCACTGGATAGCTGGCCAATCAGCGTACACCTCGCTTTTCAGACCGATGAGCTTTGTAAAAATCTACGCGTTTCAGAAAGGTGGGGCATAGAGGAGAAACAATAATGTACAGTATGTGGAAAATAATGTGTTTTTTGAACTTTAAACCGCATAAACACATTTCATTACACCAAATACACAAAATAATTTTCTGCAACATCATATGACCTCTTTAAGGCACACACACCAGAGAGATGTCACACAAACATTCTCCAGAATGAAGGTTTAGGGTTTCACTGCGGATAAGAGCAGATTAAAATGGGCTGCGTGGTGTGTGTGTGTGTGCACATATTAGTGTGGATAAACAGAGAGGTGAACAAACCTAAAGCTAGAAACTGCCTTCTTTTTCCGATATTTATTGAATCAGCTAACCAGCAAAGTATGAAAGTGTGTGAATGTGTATACCTTGCATCCACTGCTGTTCATTTTGTCAATGGTTCTCCTGAGTGTCGCATTGCAGGGTTCGATCAGCTCCACTTGCGTCCTGACACTGGACTCCATATACGGGCCCACCAGAAAGTAGTTCTCACCCCATTCCTCGCAGGTCAGGCGTGCCTTGGTCTGGATCACCGTGTAAATGCCACCAACTGCCACAAAACGAGAGTGGTTAGTTAACCTTTAACAGATGTTTAGGTCCAGGAAAGAGAAGGCCACCCAACCCTTTGAACTCGAAATTGTCAACAGGTCCCCTTGACCTTTATCTAATCTAGCCGTCAATAATATATAATATTCACTCACAGAGTGCAGCAAATACCAACACTAGAGTCACATGACTCTTGCGCCCCTGAGTATGTGGATACAGTATCTGTGAACGCTTGGCAGTTGAGTCATGTGGCGTATAGGTTTTTGTGGTGTGAAAACAACAACAGTATCTGGTTTCTGGTAGATGATTGTCTCTCATAAAGTGCTTCAAAATAATTAGGATTAAAAACATGTTGGTGTTTTTATTAATACGGACAGATCCATCCATTTGATAATTTTTTGGTTTTTATACATTTTAGTATTGGTTGATAAATTACATTATATCAAAAACCTCAATATATTTACACTTTCTACAGAAAATTCAATAGGATATGTAAAATGCAGTATGGATTGTTTAGCTCTGGTTACTGGTGCTTAAACCTTTAACCTTTCATGAAATAGAACACTCAAACATTATAACCCTTAAAGTCTTTATCTCCCACTTGGTCCTCAGTTTAACAGAGAGTAAAAACATCCACAACTCCTAAACAGTTTAAGGAATTTTACTAGGTCAGGAGATGCACACAAAAAATAAACTGGACATATACTTTCAATACAGTCTTATACAGTATTCTTCCTATAGTCCTATTTGTTTTCTGTGTACAAAGAGTAAATGGTATCAGGTGGTATCAGGTATCCATGTTCAAAATAAACATGGTATTATGCCCAAAAAACGTCTCAGGTTACATATGTAACCATGGTTCCCTGAGTAGGGAACGAGACACTGCGTCCTCTAGGGGTCGCTATGGGGGGACGCCTCGTCGTGACCCGTGTCTGAAGCATACATTGAAAAAACACCAACTCGTTGGCCGGCGACAGCCATGACGTCACTACCGGTGCGACTATAGTATAAATAGGCACCGGGAGCTACACATCATTCACTTCTTCGTCTGAAGCTTGCGTCCGCAGCATGGCAAGAAACCTAGAGGACGCAGTGTCTCGT